ATTTCTCCTTATAGAGTAAGCCATGTGAGGGATAGGGCTGGGTCTGTTTTCTTGTCTTTGAGACTAGTGGGAAAAGCACAGTGCCTGGCTCTGAATAAATATAATTTGAATGAATGATACAAGTAAGTAGTCACTAAATAAATGACTGAATGAACATAGTATTTTGATCCATAGGAGGCTCTGCTAAGTTTAGCGTAATGGTTAAAAGCGTGGGCCCTGGACTGTTAGGGCAAATTATTGAACCTCTCTGTATCTTTTGTCTTCACCTATGGAATGAGGCTGTAAACAGTTCCCAGCTCACAGGGTGGCTAAGAGGGTTAATGACTATAACGATGTCCTTGGGTGATGCTAATGATGAACACACTTGGGTTTGAATCCAGCCTCTGCCAGTGCCTGGGAGTGTTGTCCACTCTAATACCACTTTACTTACCATATAAAAATAGGTTGAATTCAGTTTGCTTTGAACTTCCATCTTCTGCATTTTCACAGGAAGACTGTGTGTTGATGTCAGCTGGGATGCCAATGTTTCACTTCTCTCACTGTTCACTTCAGGGAAATTCTGGGAACTGCCCAGGCTGGTTTGGGGTGGTCATTTAATGTCTCAATGTAGATCAGAATTGTGCCCTTCAGCATGTGACTCAGAAAACAGCTCCACCCTAAAGGATATCAGCTAATTATATCCTCGAGGACTTCAGTGGCAGGACCCCCTTCTCTCACAACCAAGAAGTTGGCAAGCATAAGCCTCCCGCCTTCTACAGAGTAGGAGGTCAGGAGCCACTGCCACCCTACCTCACATGTGGCTGACAGACACAATGGTGCGAGGCTGCCTGATGTGCTGGTCAGATAGCGAGGCATGTCTGTTGCTTCAGGGACAAAGATTTTGTGTTTCTATTTTCTTCTGCTAATACCTCAAGGTGGCCTCAGAGACATGAGACAGGCTCAGGACCCCCAAGGCCCTCATTTGTTCTTATAAAGGAGCCATGTGACAGGAAGACCCTGATGCAAACCTTTGGAAGCACACTGTAACCCTTAGGGTGGTTCGATTGCTCAACCTGCAGTAAGTAGCTTTAAGTGCGCTGATGAGCATTGTAAAGCAATAGCCAATCAAATGTGAAATGTTAGAGAGCTTGCATGTAGGTGTCTGCATAGAGCTCCTTGTTCTAGGAAATATTTCATAGATGTCATTCATTTACCCAATATTTTGAATAGTAGCTCTTCTTCCTTTTCATTGTGAAATAATTCTATTTCCCTAGTCCAAATCCTATAGCAGTGGTTCCTGGTATTTTAGGACTCTTATGTGTCCTCAGGAAACCAAGGGGAGTCTTGAAACTATTTTCAGTACTTCCTACAGAAATTACACTTTTATCACAGCTGTACATGTGAAATGGTAAGTAATATACTTTGCACAGTGACATTTATGTAGATTAGAAGCTCTTGTTTTGTTGCTGTAGTTGTTTAGTGCCATTGAGTCAGTTCCGGCTCCTAGCAACCTTGTATAGGGTTTCCAAGGAGCAGCTGGTGAGTTTGAACCACTGACCTTGTGGTTCAAGCCGACCTTGCTGTCCAGTGTATTATCCTGCAGCGCCACACCAGGACTCCAGCATCTCTGCCTAGTGCTCTTTCATTCAAGAACATGGAAATGAAATGTTACATATTAAGTGATAAGTGAAATCTGGAAGATGGGATCTTCAAAACATGTGGTTCCAGGAGGAAGTGATGCCTGGTGAGAGAACAATGTTTACTGCTGCATTGTCATCATTGCATGTCCTGTCCATTTGACAGTTCATTATGTCACTGACACTGGGAAAACCATCTTTTCCATGGATTATGAAAACTTCTGTTGAAATGGATATCAAAGTATGTGGTTAAGGGGGCCATCTTTATGTAAATGCATGCCCTGGGGATTCAGTGGCCACCAAGGCTTTAGGTAATCCTGATGTCAAAGACAGGATAATAAAAATTGTCATAATTTTCTTTGAAATTTCTAAGTGCTTCTAGGACAGAAATACAAGTGAGTAGCTTTAAACAAAAAAAATGTATTTTCTTACAGTTCAGGGTAAGGATCAGGTTCAGAAATCCTTCCTTGTCTATTTCAGCTTCTGTTGCTCTAGGGTGTCTTGGGTTCCTAGGCAATTATCAAGGGTCATCTGCCTCCCCAAACTTCCCCTCCTGCCAACACACCCTAGCCCCACCCTCCTACTCTCCTGGTATGCTTCCTTGCCTTATCTGCTCCTCTTATAACTCAAAAGGGATTAGTGCTTCAAGGTATGGCCTCATTAACATGGCGGATGTAGGGATTAGGTATCCAACAGAGATTCTTTGTTGTTGTTGTTGTTAGGTGCTGAGTTGGTACCGAATCATAGTGACCCTATGCACAACAGAATGAAACACTACCTGATCTTGGGCCAATTTCACAATTTTTGCCACACTTGAGCCCATTGAAGCCACCACTTTGAGAAAAAGAGGGGGTGCTTCCTCTTTTTCTCTGACCTTACCAAACATGATATCCTTTTCCAGTGACTGGTCCCTCCTGACAATATGTTCGAAGTATAAGAGATGAAGTTTGGCCATCCTGGCATCCAAGGAACACTCTGGCTGCACTTCTTCCAACACAGATTTATTGGTTCTTTTGGCAGGCCATGGCACTTTCAATATTCTCCTCCAACACCATAACTCAAAAGCATCCATTCTTCTACAGTCTTCCTTATTCACTGTCCAGCTTTCACATGCATATGAGGTTATTGAAAATACCATGGCTTGGGTCAGGTGCACCTTAGTTCTCAAACTGACATCTTTGCTCTTCAACATTTTAAAAAGGTCTTGTGCAGCAGATTTGCCTAATGCAATACATCATTTGATTTCTTGACTGCTGCTTCCATGAGGGTTGATGGTTAGTTGATCCAAGAAGAATGAAGTCCTTGACAACTTCAATCTTTTCTCCATTGATAAGAATGTTGTTTATTGTTGTTGTTAAGTGCCTTCATATCGACTCATGTTGTTGTTGGTAGGTGCCATCAAGTTGGTGCCGACTCATAGCGACCTGATGTACAGCAGAACGAAACACTGCCCGATCCAAATTGACTCATAGAGACCCAGTATAGGGTTTCTGAGGAGCAGCTGCTGAGTTTGAAGTGCAGACCTTGTGGTCCAGTGCTTAGCTTATAGCGCTACACCAGGACTCCTCTGAGATTCTAGGGGGTCATAATTCCACCATAACCCTTCAGCTTATCACAAACTAGGACAAGAATGCTCCTTAGAAACAGGAGCTTCTCATACTTCAGCCATGTGATCAGGAGGGACCAGTCCCTGGAGAAAGACATCATCCTTGGTAAAGTGGAGGGTCAGAAGAAAATAGGAAGACCCCCAATGAGATGGATTGGCACAGTGGCAGCAGCAGTGGGCTCAACCGTAATAACATCGTGAGGATGGTGCAGGACAGGGCAGTGCTTCCTTCTGTTGTGCATTGGTGGTGATGTGCCGTGGAGTCGGTTCCAACTCATAGAAACCCTGTATAGGGTTTCTGAGGCTGTAAATCTTTACGGGAGCAGAAAGCCTCATCTTTCTCCAGCGGAACAGCTGGTAGTTTCGAACTGCTGACCTTGAGGTTCACAGCCCGATTCATAACCACTACACTACCAGAGCTCCTTGTGCATAGGGTCACTATAAATTGGAACTGACCTGATGACACCTAACAATGTATATGCAAGTTTGTTTGATTATATGAGGGAACGTTCATGGAAAAATTCCATTGTGTTTCAATCCCATTTTCCGACAAACATTTTGAAGTCCCCTTGTGTTTGTTATGGGTGTAAAGAGAGAGAAAGTATTCCTGGTGGCTCATGGGTTAAGTGCTGGTGAGCTAACACTTAACATTCTAGGCTGTCAGTTCAAACCCATATATATATGGAACCCTGGTGTGATGCTGTAGGATAAGCACTGGACTGCTAATCAGAAGGTCAGTGGTTCAAACTCACCAGCTGCTCCTCAGAAACCCTATTGCTAGGAGTTGGAACCAAGTTGACAACAATATATCTGCCCAAGGAACGCTGCTGGTGCTTAAGCACTTAGCTGCTTACTGAAATTTCTAAAAGAAAGATGTGGCAATCTGTTTCCATAAAGATTGTTGTTGTTAGAGGCCATTCAAAAATAAGGTGGCCTAACACAGGTGGAACCAATTTAGCAATGTTGAAGCAATCTGCAGTCTTGTGATAAGAAACCAGAAGCTTGGAATGTTTAATCAGGGGCATCATGAGACAACCACCATCTCTATTCTTAAATAATTTCTCAGTGAAGCCAGCTTCAAGTTTCAGAGTCGTGGTGGTGCTGTGGGTTAAGCACTGTGCTGCTAACCACAAGGTCAGGTGGTTCAATCCCACCAGTATGCAGGAGAAATGAGTCTGGCAGCTCTGGCTAAGATTTACAGTCTCAGAAGTTCTAAAGAGCACATCTACTTTGTTCTGAAGTTGTTGTTGTTAAGTGCCGTGGAGTCGGTTCCGACTTATAGTGACCCTGTACAGAGTTTCTGAGGCTGTTAATCTTTATGGGAGCAGAAAGCCTCATCTTTCTCCTGCAGAACAGCTGGTAGCTTTAGCAGCCCGATTTGTAACCACTGCGCTCCTTTGGTCCAACGTTTGGACTCCTTATATAGGCCTCCAGACCCTTTGGTCATTTGAGTTGTGTGAAACCGTAGGGAAGGGTGTTGGCTGCGGGTCTCTGAACTAGACTCAGGTTTTTCTCTCAAAGCAAATTGATTAGGAATCTTAGCTGAGAGGCCCCGGGGCAGGCCTTGGGGGCTTGTGCGCCTCCTTTATTAAGCACGTGAGCAATATGACCAGACCATGTGGGAGTAATTGGGTCGGAGCAATCGAGGCAATGATCACGCCCCAAATCCATGGGGGGAAGGGGCCCATCCCAGGGACAGCTTGGTCAGGTGACGCTTGGGAGTAGATTTATGGGCAGATGCGGAAAGAGCCGGCAGGAGAGTGTGAGCGCGAGCGCAGATGGCGGGCGCTGAGGACACGCGGTCCCCGGGGCTCCCCCGACTCGCGTTCCCTTTGCTGCTGCTCTTCCTGTTACCTGCGCGCCCCACCTTCGGTGCCCCGCCCTACGAGCCCACCTGGGAGTCCCTGGACGCCCGCCCGCTGCCGGTCTGGTTCGACCAGGCCAAGTTCGGCATCTTCATCCACTGGGGCGTGTACTCCGTGCCCAGTTTTGGTAGCGAATGGTTCTGGTGAGTGCACGTTCCTCTGATCCCACAGACCCAGTTTTTGCCTCCGGGGTTCCAGGCACCGGTCAGCTCCTCGGGTTTGCTTCCTGGTCACTTTCACTTCCCCGTGTTCTTAAACTTGTTTTGCATTTCCGGCTTAAAAGTATAAATATTTATTGCTTACTGGGTTGCTGGTGGTGTAATAATGAATTGTTCCTCCGTGTGACTGAAAACGTTTTCAAACACTCTGGGGATCTGGCTCCCTGTAGTTTTCACACTTTAACATCCAGAAACTGAACCGGAAGAAATCAAGCGATTTGTGGAGGTGGTGTTAGTTTCCTTTTGGTCTAAACTATCTGTCGTTTGAAACTCTGCTGAATGCCTCATCGCTGTACGGCGAATCTTCGATTCTGTTACTAAGTATGGGTAGAATATCAATTCATGCTTATATGCAATGCTTGTTAATTTGGACATCGTCCACTCCACAGCAACTGTTTGTAATTTTGTTTTTGTTGTTGTTAAGTACTGTGGAGTCGGTTCCCAATCATAATGACCCTGCACAGGGTTTCCGAGGCTGTCAATCTTTATGGGAGCAGAAAGCCTCATCTTTCTGGTAGTTTCGAACTGCTGACCTTGAGGTTGGCAGGCCAACTCCTACCACTACACTCCCAGGGCTCCTCGTTTGTAATTTTAGTGGCTCTTGAAAGGTTACTACTTGTGACTATAAACTCCTTGTTGTGGAATCCGTTCTGACTCATGGAGACCCTGTTAGAGGAGAACTGTGTTCCATCAGATTTCCAAGGGCTGATTTTTCAGAAGTCGATTGCCAGACCTTTCTTTTGAAGCACCTCTCAACAGCCAATCTTTTTTTGTGTGTGTGCTTCCATTTATTTTATTTTTTAATGTTTTATTGTGAATTATGTGATAGTTTACATGGGAGAACATTAGTTTTACATTCATCCTATCATATATCATTTCATTGCCATGGTTACCTTCCCCTCCATGCCTCATCAACCAACTAAAGGGTATGCACTACAAGCCCCACCCCACCCTCATCAGCACACACAGCCCCTCTTCCTTTCTGTGTCTCAAGTCCCCAGCTGCCCCATCTCTCTACGTCATCATCTCTGCCTCCATCTAAGGCATCACTGTCAACAGCCAACCTTTGGTTAACAGGCAAGATTTCACACCACCTAGGTATCATCCCTTATGAAAGTGTCTTGACCTTGATGAAGCTTATGTTGAGATTTGTATTTCAATCTTTTCATTCCATTTTCCCACACACTTTTTGAAGACCTCTCGTACCATTCCTGATTAAATACCGGTCTCTGCTGGTGAATGCAATGTTGTTGTTAACTGGCATCTGACTCTGTGTAGGGTGTCTGAGCAGTGGTTGGTGGGTTTGAACCGCTGATCTAGTGGTTAGCAGTGCAGTGCTTATCCTACAGCACCATACCAGGATGTATGCTATGTTTTGGCATGCAGTTCTCCTTTTGAACCTTGTTGTTGTTGCTAGGTACCATCAAGTTGGTTCCGGCTCACAGTGACCCTGTGCACAACAGAACAAACACTGCCTGGTCCTGGGCCATCCTCCCCATTGTTACGTGTGAGCCCATTGTTGCTGCTACCGTGTGAATCCATCTCATTGAGGGCTGGAGGGAGTCTGCCTCTTTTTTGAGAACCCTCCACTTTACTGGGAGCATGGTGTCTCTGTAGGTTAAGCACTGGACTGTGAACCACAAGGTTGGCAGTTTGCGCCCACCAGCTGCTCTGCTTTTTGCTCCTGCAAAGACTGGCAGCTTTGGAAACCCTATACAGCATTGCTATGGGTCGGAACAGACTTCATGGCACTTAACAACTCCACTTTACCAAACATGATATCCTTCTACAGGTACTGGGCCCTCCTGACATGTACAAAATATGAGCGAAATCTCTAAGGACCAGTCTAAGGAGCAATCCATGGCACTTTCGCTGTTTTTCACCAACGCCATTATTCAAATGTTTCCATCCTTCTCTTGTCTTCTTGATTGTCCAGCTGTCACATGCATGCGATGAGACAATTGAAAATACTACCGCTTGTGTTAGGCACACCTGAGTCCTCAAAGTAACACCTTCGCTCTTTAACACTTTAAGGAGATCTTTTGCAGCATAATTGTCTAACGCCATGTGTCCTTGATTTCTTGACTGCTGCGTCCATGAACATTAATGGTGAATCCAAGTAAAACGAAATCTTTGACTTCACGCTTTTCTCCAGGAGGCTGTTTGAAGCCTTAGTCACTTAAATTACAAAGTACTTTACTGTGTAAAGATACATGTGTTGTTATTGTTGTTGCTACTGAATAGATTCCAACTCACTCACGACAACCCCATGTGTTCAGAGTAGCCTTGTTCCATAGGGTTGTCCAGGCTGCGACCTTTCAGAAACAGATCGCAGACTTTTCTTTGGAAGCACCTCTGGATGAGTTCAAACCACAGCTCTTTTGGTTAAGAGTTGAGTTCTTAACTGTTTATACCACTCAAGGCTCCAAAAGACACATAGTAAGTATAGAGAGTAATTTAAAAGTGAGACTTAAGACAGAATGCATGGCAGGGTTGTATAGAATATACTAGTTTACAAGTTTATTCGAGTTTATGAGGATTTCACAAGGAGCCAGGTAAAAAGAGAGAGGGTGTTTTTATTTTACTTGGATTCACAATCAGCACTTATGCAGGCAACAATCAGGAAGTCATACATCATTTGGAAAATGAGCAGCAAAGTGTCACTTTAAAGTGTTAAAAAGCAAAGACGTCACTTGGATGACAAAAATGTGCTAGACCCAAGTCTTGGTATTTTTAGTGGGTTCAGACGTATGCAAAAGTCAGACAGTGAATAAGGAAGTCTAACAGAATTGATGTCTTTGAATTGTGGTGTTCATGAAGAATATTAAATATACCACGGACTGCCAGAAGAATGAACAAATCTGTCTTGGAAGAAGTACAATCGTTGCATTGTTCCTTGGAGGCAATGATGATGAGATTTTTGTCTCACCTTACTTTGGGTGTGTTATCAGGAGGGACCAGTCCCTGGAGAGGGACATTGTGCTTGACAGAATAGAGGCTCAGTGTAAAGAGGGAGATCCTTAACGAGATGTATTGACGTGGTGGCTGTAGCAATGAACCCAAGCTTAGAACGACTGTGCAGATGGCACAAAGCCAGGTAGTGCTTTGTTCTAAAGTACGTGGACTTTCTATGAGTTAGAACCAAGTTGATGGCACCTAACAAGAACAAACAACAAGTTCTTTTTAAGGCCAAGTCAAGCTTATGAGGATGAGAGGAAGAGAATCCGGGGAAGTAGCCATAGCAAAGGGAGCTGGTCCTTAGGTGTGTTTCCGTTTTTCGCCTTAGGTGGTACTGGCAAGAGCAAAAGAAACCAGAGTATGTGACATTTATGAAGCAAAATTATCCTCCCGACTTCAAATATGAAGAATTTGGACCACAGTTTACAGCACATTTTTTCAATGCCAACACGTGGGCAGATCTTCTTCAGGCTTCTGGTGCAAAATACGTGGTCTTAACTACCAAACATCATGAAGGTAAGCAAATACAAGAAACACATGTAAACACGGATTCCAGTTTAGAAAAGTGAAGTAGTTCTTTTGGGAGAAGAAACTAAAAGCAAGGTCATCCCTAGAAAAACAGATTTTCTGCTAAGGAACATCTTTAACTGGCCACCAACACTTACTTATCATTTAAGGCTCCACGTGTTCCACTGAAATTGAGGGGTATCAGATATACAGACAGATCATCCTTACCATGTAACAGGAGAAAAATGGTCACATATGGCTGTGTGTATCTTTAACGTATGTCCATGGTTGGATTAAAGCTATTTAGATTGGAGTATGGATTGCAGGTCCAAGTTTATGACTGAAATCACACCCTTTGCTTCCCCTTCATCTCCCTTCTGTAATGCATTCTCAGGGGGCACCGTGGGGTTATGATGAGCAGTATTGTTGCTTTACTACTGCCATACCTGGCTGTGATTTGACCAACTCTTAGAAGGCCAAGTGGTGGAAAGAGTTGCTGGGATGAAAGTGACACAGATCACCTGGCAGCAGAAAAAGGCCCATAACGGTGCCCAGGGATATCAGAGGGAGTGGAAGAATATCTCAGAGGAAAAGAGGTTCCACCCATGACCATTCCTGGATCTGTAATACCAGAGAAGCAGCTACATACTTGTCCCAACTGCTCATTAAATCACTAGCATCTTTTGCATGGTTACCTTTTGATAATGAGAAATTCAGCCTCATTGGCAGAAACTGTTGTTGCGTGCCATCAGGTCAGCTCCCTGGATAGAGTTTCCAAGAGCACCTGGTGAGTTTGAACCACTGCCCTTGAGGTTAGCAGTCCAGTGTTTATCCAGGGCTCAGAGCTATACCAGGACTCGGAGCCATAATTAGGGGACCAATAAGACCCCTTTCTTTGGCTACATGCTGGTAGCTCCGTGATTTTTCTCCTGTAGATATTTTTCTGCTGAGATGGATGTTGATAATGTGTATTTGCTTGTGAACATCTTGGTTTCCTGGTGTCTAGGAGCTCTGGTAGCGTAGTGGTTACGAATCGGGCTGCGAACCTTAAGGTCAGCGGTTCGAAACTACCAGCTGCTCCGCGGGAGAAAGATAAGGCTTTCTACTCCTGTAAAGATTTACACCCTCGGAAACCCTGTACAGGGTCGCTATGGATCAGAACCGACTCGACGGCACTTAACAACAACAAACAACAACAACAGGAATTTCCCCAAGCTGTAATGCACAAGGTATTACATAGTGAAGTGATTTGAACAAAACGAAGCAAAAACCCACTTTATTCTGTGAAGACAGAAGATTCAGCCTTTTGTGAGGACAGGTTTTGCAGGACCCATGTCGTGAAATGCTATCACTGCTTCTAGAGACTGCAGTTGCCGAGCAGTTAGGAGGGAAGAACACTGTGTGTGCTCCTCATTTGGTGAATAGTGGATGGTGGGGACCATGCACTGAAGACTCCTGGGGTTTTAGTGCCTTAGCACACTGGGGCCTGTCAACTTGATATTTTTTGAGTAAGACTAAGTATCGGCACTGCTTTGAAGCATACCACAAATCTCTCCAGAACAGTTGGGAAAAACACGAATCTAGTGAGTGAATCAGTGTTAAGACTTGTCCTAATTTCTGGGCAAGCATTTCACCTTATAAAATACAGTAACTCAGGTACGTTGACATTTTTGATGTTTTGATATTACTAATTTATTACAGTTTATATTATCTCTTGGACTATTTTTATATAGATCAACCAGCAATCTAACTGCAAATTCATTTTAAAATATGGTTTCAAAGAGCTTGTATAATGGTATGTATTAGTTTCCTTATCCACTTGTTGTTGTTAAGTGCTGTGGAGTCAGTTCTGACTCATAGTGATCCTGTATAAGGTTTCTGAGCAGCAGTTGGTGGGTTTGAACTTCTGACCTTGTGGTTCACAGTCAAGTGCTGATCCTACAGCACTGTACCAGGAGTCCACTTTTCAATAATTTAAGGATTGACATCCAAGCTCATGGCTTTCAGGTGAGAAGATAGTGCAGATGGTGGGTACATTTTAAAGACTAGAACAGGTAACCTTAGAAGTGTCGCCCCGTTAGATGGACAATGAGAAACTCATTAGCATTTTACGAATCACAGTGTAGAAACACACAATCCTAAAATTGTGAAATCTGCTTTAATCTTTGGTTCACAAGGTAAGACTCTTGCAGGAGTTAGCTCTGGTCCTCATTATCTAGTAGCCGTTGTCTAGCTCGGTAGACATGGCAGATGTTCTCAATGGGTCAGCTATGATCTGCTACTGTGGGTTGTTTATTTTGTGCTATACTCTGTGCTAGAAGAGTCTTGGTGTAGCACTGTCAGATTAGCTAACCACAAGGTTGGAAGTTCAAACTCACCAGCTGCTCCTTGGAAACCCTATACTAGGTCACTGAGTCAGAACTGACTCACTTTAACAATAACTGTGTTAGAAGTAGGCTGGGAAAAGAGCAGGGAACACTGTAGAAATAATTCTCTCCCTCAAGCTTATACTCTGAGGGAAAATCGAGGAGACAGATCGAACCCTATAGATTCTGTGGTGTAGCCTGAATGTTACTTAAAACAACTCTGGGTCCATCTTGGTTACCTTCTTGTTTGTTGCTCTTTCAAAAGCCGAATAAATACTACGAAAAAAACCTGCCGTAAAATAGCGATGTGTGGAAGAAGTTATTTACATGATACTTTTGCTATCTCTGGTCCCTGGGTGGCACAATGGGTTTAGCAGTTTGAACCCACCCAACAGTGCCATGGAAGAAAAGTCTGGTGATCTGCGTCTGTAAAGATTACAGCAAAGAAACTCAATGAAGCAGTTCTCTTCTGTAACACATGGGGACTCCATGATCCAGAATCGACTCAAGGGGCAATTGGTTGGTTTGGTTTTTGCACAATCTGATTCATTTTGAGATTTGTAAAAGTGGAAACTTCTTAAAAAAAAAAATGGATGTGCTTATCCAAGTTTTTAATATCATTTTCTAGGCTTCACCTTGTGGGGTTCAAAGTACACCTGGAACTGGAATGCTGTAGATGAAGGGCCAAAGAGGGACATTGTCAAGGAACTTGAGGTAGCCATTCGGGACAGAACTGACTTGCATTTCGGATTGTACTACTCCCTTTTCGAATGGTTTAACCCGCTCTTCCTTGAGGACAAATCCAGTTCATTCCATAAGCGGCAGTTTCCGGTTTCTAAGATGTTGCCGGAGCTCTACGAGTTAGTGACCAACTATCGGCCTGAGGTGTTGTGGGCAGATGGTGATGGAGGGGCCCCAGACTCCTATTGGAACAGCACTGGCTTCTTAGCCTGGCTGTACAACGAGAGGTGTGTATGCCATTTCATCTCTGGCCTTTCCCTGAAGTTGCTACAGCATTTGTCCCATTGTCATTCTCTGGCTTAAAGTACATCTGTCCAGGCTCATTTAGGGTAAAGGAGTCAGAATCAGTGTAAATAATGCTTACAAGAAGGGGCTATGTATGAAGGGGCTGCTGCCACAGGTTTGTGGAAAAATGAAATGAAAAGATCATGGAATTTTTCCATGAACTTTTCAAAGGCTCCTGATCTCAATACTTACACAAAATAATCAAAAGTAAATAAACCAGGAGTGAAACGCCAGTATCAGAACTTCATGTTGAAATTAGTCTAATAATCACAGGATGAGGGACTTCGAAGAGATGAATGAATTTTGTGGGTCCCCCTTTTCATTTCCTGTTCTAGGATGAGGTGTTACTCATTATTGTCTTCCTAGGATGCGCTTTTCCGTTCCTCCAATTCTTCTGCTTACTCGCTTACTTTCTGATAATCTTTGCTGCCCAGTCAGCGAGCCTCTTGTCTGTCTGCTTTTTTTCTTCATTATCAACATTATCACCTCCTCTTGTTCATTCCTGTGACTTTCTAGCAAGGTCAAGGCTGCCCCATTAGATGAAGGAGTTCTGTTGTTGTTAAGCACAGTCCGGTTGGTTCTGACCCTGTCCAGGGTTTCTAAGGAGTGGCTGGTGAGTTTGAACTGCTGACTTTATGGCTCAAACTGACCTTGTGGTCCATTGCTTTATCCTACAGCGCCATACTATGACTCCGTAGGCTTAAATTATATGGACCAAATTTATACTCATAACTAGAAAGAACTAGGTGTATTATGTTATGAAGTCAGGGAGTAATCTACTCTTACTCTTAGGTCCCCAAAGGGAACATATACAAATACTCTGGTGAAGTCGTGATTCTTGAAACAGCAGTTGTTTTCAGGTACTCCTTCTCAGGGAAAGGACTAGGAGCTGTCAACCCTATCATGATCAATAATATTGTGGGGATACCTCATGCCACAGTGAATCACATCACGGGAGCAGTTGAGTTTTCAGTATTGCGCCCAATCATAGAACAGTAAAGCTAGATTAGAATATATTGGAGAGAAAATTTTCTTGTGTGTAAATTCAGTTTTGTCTACCATGTACATTATAGGGGAAACAAATTTTCAAACAAGTATGTTGTTAAGGTCTATTGAATCGATTCTGACCCATAGCGACCCTGTACAGGGTTTCCGAGGAACAGCTGGTAAGCTTGAACTGCTGACCTTGCGGTTGAAACTGACTTTGCAGTCCAGTGCATTAACCCACAGCACCAAACGTTGGTACTAAAAACAGATGAGGTGATAGATTACTCAGAGGAATTAAGTCACTTGGTTTTGATCAAGTGGCAGAATAAGAATCATGACTTCAGATAACCTAGATGCATTTGACTTTAAAACCATGGACCTTCCACTGCACTTTTCCGGAATGAATTGCAGTTAGCCCTCTTTTCAGTGACATTTTTTTATATTAAAAAAATATAGCTTTTTTTTTTTTTTTTAAATTAAAAATGTATACTTTTCATTTCAGCCCAGTTCGGGACACCGTAGTCACCAACGATCGTTGGGGAGCTGGGAGCATCTGTAAGCATGGCGGCTACTATACCTGCAGTGACCGCTATAACCCAGGACATATATTGCCACATAAATGGGAAAATTGCATGACATTAGACAAGGCTTCCTGGGGCTACAGGAGGAATGCTGGAATCTCTGACTATCTGACAATAGAAGAATTGGTGAAGGTACCGGAAAATGTCTCATCTACTACTGTAACAGTGTGGCGAGTATTTCTTACCATGTGTATAGCTCAATGGCGTAAAAAGTACACTGGACATGTACTAGTCCCTCTGTCTGTTGTCCTAGATAGTGACTTCCATGCACTGTAAATATGTACATACAACAGATGTATGTAACATTGTATCTATCTTAATTCCTAGCAACTTGTAGAAACAGTTTCATGTGGAGGAAATCTTTTGATGAATATTGGGCCCACACCAGATGGCACAATTTCTCCAATTTTTGAGGAGCGGTTAAGACAAATGGGGACCTGGCTAAATGTGAATGGGGAAGCTATTTATGGAACCCACGTTTGGAGATCCCCGAATGACACTGTCACGCCAGATGTGTGGTAAGTCATTATGGCAACCAGTACTATGTGATGGAGGAAGAAGACATTTCAAATTTCTTAGAGCTATCAAGAGAGGGATAAAAGGAGTGCTCACAGACACCAACTTTTCCGTACTTTATACTTACTCTGATAAAAAACAAAGGGAGGACTTAGCATGTTTTTGAATGCTTATCATTTACCATTACTAGAACCCTCCTGTTGTTGGTAAGTGCTGTTGAGTTGGTTCTGACTCACAGTGACCCTGTATAGGGTGAGTTTGAACTGCCAACTTTGTAGTTAGCAGTCCGGTGCTTATCCTACAGCCCCACACCAGAACTCCTGACACCTAGTTGTGAACAAATTCTAAAGATAGTCAGCTCTCATACTGTATACAAAAAGAACTCAAGATGGACCAAAGACCTAACTGTAAAACCTAAAGCTATATAAAGCCCATGAATGAAAAAATAGGGACAGACTTAGGAACCCTAATACGTGACATAAATACACTATCAAACATAACTGAAAACACAGAGTAGAAGACAAATTAGATGACTGGGATATCTTAGGCATATCCAAAGATTTCACTAAAAGAGTAAACTGGGAAAACATTTTGGCAAGAAAATATTAAATATTGGACAAAGGACTGATCTCTGAAGTTTATAGAAAATTTCAACACCTCAGCAACAAAACCACAAATAACCCAGCTTAAAAATGGGCAGAGGACATGAACAGACTCTTGACCAAAGAATACATTCAGCTGACCAGGAAACACATGAAGAAATACTCATGATCATTAGCCATAGGAAAGGTACAAATCACAACGATTCATTTCACGGCAGCATTAATTTGTTGTTGCTCAGTGCCGTCTAGTCAGTTCTTACTCAGAGTGGCCCTGTATAGGGTTTCAGAGGAGCGATTGGTGGGTGAACTGCCAACTTTGCAGTTCAAACTGACCTTATGGTCAAGTAAAAAGTTAAAAAATAGAACAAAACATATAAAAAACTGCTGGTGAGGGTATGGAGAGACTGGAACGCTCATACATGGCTGATGTAAGTGTAAAATGGTACAATATCATTTATATCACATGTAAGTAAAATTTTGCTGAAGATAATTAAAAAATGGTTGCAACAGTACATCAAAAGGGAATTGCCAAAAATTCACGCCAGATACTGAAGAGGACGTGGGACGAGGGATATCACTGCTGACATCAGGTGGATCTTGACTGAACACAGAGAATACCAGAAAGATGTTTACTTGTGCTATATTGACTACGCAAAGATTTTTCTACTGTGTGGATCATGACAAACAGATAACATTGTAACGAATGGATATTCCAGAACATTTTATTATGCTCATGAAGAATCTGTACATAGATCAAGAGGCAGTTGTTAGAACTGAACAACGGGATACTGAATGGTTTAATGTTAGGAAAGGTGTGTGCCAGGGTTGTATTGGAGACGCATTAATATCCTGACTGATGTGTAGATGAAATAACCTTGCTTGCTGGAATTGAAGAGCACTTAAAATGCTTACTGATGGAAGATCAAAGACCACAGCCTTCACTATGAATTGCACCTCAATTTAAAGAAAACAGAAATCCTCACAACTGGACCAATAAATAATAACAGGATAAATGGAGAAAAGATTCAAATGTTCAAATATTTTGCTTGGATCCACAATCAACACTGATGGAAGCAGCAGTCAAGATATTAGGCAAATAAAAAAATTAAAGGTCGCATTGCATTAAGCAAATCTGCAGCAAAAACCTTTTAAGTGTTAAAGAGCAAAGATACCAGCTGTCTCACTGAGGAATAGGGTGTGCCTGACCCTAATCCTGGTATTTTCAACTATCTCCTATGTGTTTGGAAATTGGACAATGACAAAGGAAGACCATAGAGAATCAATGCATTTGAATTATGGTGTTCGAGAAGAATATTGAATACCATGGTTAGTCAGAACACACGACTCTGTTTTGGAAGAAGTCCAAGTCACAATGCTCCTTGAGGTAAGGACAGCAAGACTTGATCGCTCACGCTTTCAACATGATGTGGATGGACCAATCCCTGGAGAAGGGCATAATGCTTGGTAAAGTGGAGTTTCAATGAAAAAGATTGAAGGCCCCCAAAGAGATGGATTGATTGGCACAGTGACAACAACAACGGGCCCAAACATAGCAACACTTGTGAGGATGGCACAGGCCTAGGCACTGTTTCATTCTGTTGTGCTCCCATGTGACCCCATGAGTTTGAAGCACTTGAAGGCACCTAACAACAACACAACAAGAAGACAACAGCAGTTTTCTTTACAACTCTCCTTGCCTTTAAGTTTCATGTTTCTTTATATATGTCTCTTCAAGGCAGTTTACATACTTCAACACATTTACATACTTCAACACATTGGGCACAGGCCCAGGCATTGTTTCATTCTGTTGTGCTCCCATGTGACCCCATGAGTTTGAAGCACTTGAAGGCACCTAATAACAACAACACAACAAGAAGACAATAGCAGTTTTCTTTACAACTCTCCTTGCCTTTAAGGTTCATGTTTCTTTAAATATGTCTCTTCAAGGCAGTTTACATACTTCAACATATTTCCCGCCTATATCTGCTGTTCTTGTTAAGGGCCATCTAGTTAGTTATGACTAATAGCGACCCCATATAGAATTTCTGAGGAGCAGCTGGTGGATTTGAACTGCCAGCCTTGCGGTTCAAATCAACCTTGTGGTCCAGTGCTTATCCTATAGCAACCTGCTAGTCAACATCAAAACCGCTTTCAGATTTTACCGTATTTGTTACAGTAGTCTGACTCCCTAGTATTTTTCCCTGGGACTGTCATGACAAATGAACACACACTAGGTGGCTTCAAACAAACTGGACTTTTTCTCTCAGAGCTCTGGAGCCTGCAAGTCTGAAATCAGGGCAGTACCAGAGCCAGCCTAACTCTAAAGGCTGTAGGGTTGGATTCTTCCCTGTTGGTTCTCTCTTCTTCTAAGGATGCCAGTCACTGGATTGGTGTTCACACTAATATAGTCAGACCTCAAGTTAACTAATTACATCTGTTCACACCGTGTCTGTGTGTCTTATTGGGGATTCCATGAATTTGACTTTTCTCACCCATACATTTTGCCTTGTACTGCAAATGGGTATGCTGTGTTAGACCCTTGATCCATCTGTCCCCTTTGTTTTCATTGTTTCTTTTTCCAATCGGTGTTTAATCCAGTTCTTTATCCTTTCATTGGCTGCTCAGAGAGCCAGGATTATCATCTGTCCTGGCTTCACTTGGTTTCTCGGGTCTTTGTTGTAGAGGGGCTGAGTGGAGTATCATCAGGATCCTGATCATAGCTTTAAAGGTCCTATTTTCAAATAAGGTCATATTCTGAGGTTCTAGGTAGACATACATTTTAAGGGGACAATATTCAATTATGTTCTTACATTCCAAAAATTGCTGTTACCAAGGCCAGCAATACCTTCTTGCAAAGTTCATGGAATACATAGAAATCAAATTGACTATATCTGCATAAAGAGACGATGGAAGTGCTCCATATCATCAGTCAAAACAAGGCCAGGGGCAGACTGTGGAACAGACCATCTGTTACTCATATGCAAATTCAAATTAAAGCTGAACAAAAGAAAAGTCCACGAGAGCCAAAATTTGACCTTGAATATATCCCACCTGAATTTAGAGATCATTTGAAGAACAGATTTGATAAAGCTTAAACACTAAAGACCAAAGACCAGAAGAGTTGTGGGATGACATCAAGAACATCATACATAAAGAAAGCAAAAAGTCATT